TATCAAATTCATTTTATGAGAGAAAAATAGGATTATTTTTATCCAGATTTAAAAAATAATTCCAAACTTCACATCCTCAATTATAATTTAGAAATTCACATGACTTTTCTAAGCTGTTTCTCTCCCCTCACCCCCAGTGGGAGCAGATTGAGTTTTGGAATTAATTTAGATGAATATCCTGATGAAAAGACTCAGAAAATGGTGCTTCTTTATTGACCTGGAATGGAAAAATGGAGGAAGTAATAATTTCTCATTAAAAAAAAATGGCTGGTAATATTCCTTATTAAAATGCTTAGGGTTCAGACAGTAATTAGCTCTGTTTGAACCATTGAATATTTCACAGTTTTGCTGACTCCTAGTCATCCAGGGGCAGGAGCTCACCTTCATGAAGAACATCTAGTACAATATAGATGTTAGATTAATAGATAATGGTTTAATAGGAATGTCCAGTACTTTAGCCTTAACGTAGACTTTTAGAGAAAAGGGAATTTTAGAAGGATCTGGAAATCTTTTCATTTTCCTCAAGACACACAGAATTTTTTTTTTATCACAACTCTATTATTCTGTAATAAACAACCTGGGTATTACTTTTTTTTCTTTCTTTCTTGAGTGTATTACTTTTTAAAGCCTTGACCTGTACAAATGGCAGTTTCTACCTGTCACCAGCATGTTGCTGGCATGGAATGTTGGCTGAGGGAAGCATCAAGGAGAAGAGGGGGCTTTGCCGGTCAGTTTAAAACATTCCTGTTCACATTTATTTCATCGACTGATTCCATGCAAACACTTTTCCAGTTGCCTCTATTAAAGTCCTTTCTCTACTTAATACTGTCTTTGATTTTATTTATATAAGGGAGGGAGGGAGGGAAAAAAAGGAGAAGATTAGAGGACTGTTCAAAAACATTCTTCTTTAAAACTTAAAATTCATTTTAGGGAGACCTTTGCAACACTGAACGCAGGTCTAAAAGGAATGAAATGATTTTGAGTGCCTTTGCTCTCTACAGAAGAATTTTATAAGAAAAAAATTAGGTTAAATTCAAACTTTTCTTAACCATAGAGGGGAAAAGTTTAAGATTATATGTATTTTAATGCTCAATATTTCTTCCTTGGGAGCAATTTTTAAAAGATGTTTGCGCTATCCAAGTTGTTCTTCCAGAGTTCTTGTAAATGCTAAGAGAACACACGGAATTATTAATCAGATGTTGAGAATTTATTATAGCTAGTATGTATTTGGGGGTATAACTTTATATAATTTCAAACTTGTAGAAAAGTTGCAAGAATAATATTGGGAATAAATGCTTCAAGATAACGTGATATGATAGTAGTAAGCAGCAGGTGCCCGGGGGAACATGAAGGAGGAACATTTAACCCAAACTAGGTTGTCAGGGAATGATTTCCTGAGGAGAATTTTTCTAATTCTTTGCATTCAGGTGAAACATCGAAATCACAATTTCAGAGCATGGCTATTCACACACAGTCAAAATAAGTAGGAAGTTAAGTGTAAGGGCATATATACCTGCCAGACAGACAGCTGCAGATCTGTGATTATCCATTACA